CAATAATGGAGTATACAAATCTGGTTTCGCAACCACGCAAGAAGCCTACGAGAAAGCCGTAACAACGCTCTTCTCCTCGCTCGACAAGGTCGAAGCCCACCTTGCTAAGCAGGAAGCAGCCTCGAAGCCGTATTTCTTCGGCGACGAGATCACCGAGGCTGATATCAGACTCTACACCACCATCATCCGATTTGACCCGGTCTACGTACAGCATTTCAAGTGCAATCTGCGTGATATCCGCTCTGGGTTCCCGGCTATCCACCGCTGGGTGCGCAGACTGTATTGGGATGTCCCTGCTTTCCGGGATACCACCGACTTTGAGCATATCAAGTTCCATTATACCAAGAGTCACAAGCAGATTAATCAGTTTGCTATTACTCCTCTGGGCCCTGTGCCGGATGTCCTTCCCAAGGATGAGGAGGTCAGGGCTGTGCAGGCGGCTCAATAAGGGGTCGGTCCAGGAAAGGATGGTTTGGTGATTATGCCTGTTTGCGAACCTGCGAACTGGGAAATTTAGGAGCGATCAGAATAATACTCAAGAAAATTTTTCGAAGTATGTATTATCCAAACGTGTAGATTTGTAGTAATAGACAAAATGGAAATTCAGAAGTCCCGTGGTATTGTATCGACGCCTTGCCATGCTGATGTAGTTGATGGTGAGTTTCCCAGTGCCCCTGTATCAAAGGTTGGTCAAAAGTACAGTTGTCTCAAGTGAGCAACATAAGCAATAGAAAGCAAATAAAAGTTACAGATTGAAGCCTTGTATGATATCAACCAAAGATGGATGCAAAATAAAAGCCAATATTGTGATGTCTCGTGATATGGCAAAGAGATCAACAATGAGAATGGGGTGCATTTGAGATGTACCCATGAGCGAGAAGGTGTGCCATGCGTGTCGATGGCTTTTGTGGGTATCTTTGGGACAACGCTTCTAAATGTCAAGCCAGTAAATAGCAGAGATCGATCCAAAGGCACCGGAATGGATGTGCCGGGCGGAGGTCGAAAATGCAAGCAAATGGCTGAGTGGTATCCGCGGGGGTGTGCAACGAGGACGAGGTGAAGGCTTGTTCGGGCTGGCAGATCATCGTAGACCAAGTATGCGTTTCGCATTCTCGTAGACCACATAGCTGATTGACATGGCCGGTGCCACTTTGAGGAGGTTAGGTGTGAGGCCTTTGTAAAGACCACGGGGCCCCTCTGTTTTGAGTGTGACACTCAGAACCTCGCCAATCCCTGTATATGTAGGCGGATGCATGATGGTGCCCTGGGTCTGAAGTCGAGTGCGGAGAACATTGAGGGGGTAGACAATTGAGGCGCTGAATCCTCCACTTATAGCGCCAATTGCACCTGTCGCAAAGTTTCCAAGGGGTACGTCATCCTCATGACAGCCACATTCACGAGCCTTTTTAGCTAGAAGCCTTCGTTTGAGGTATTCAAATGTCGATAGGTCTATTGCGGCGTAGGGAAACATCCCCACAAGACCAAGCGGGAGTCCTCGGAAGAAGCCAACCAAGCCATTCTTGTTCCACACCTTTCTTGCGGTAGCTGCGATGAGTTGATTACCTATCGGGCCATCCTTCACGGTTTCACACTGCATGCGACTATTGGTAATTGTAAGCCACAATGCTCTTAACAAATCACTTGGGTCGGTGTACTCACAATTTTAGTGTATCAAGGGGATAAACGAAGCATCTAGTCACAATTAAAACCAATTTTCCTTTCATCGATGATGTGCAAGACCTACTGGGCAACCATTCCACCAAAGCCACCGGACATAAACTGTGAAGTGGGAAGGAGTCGCTTGGTATCATTATGTCCTTCGAGCCGTGCAAATGCTCGTTTCGCAGACTGGTCTTAGGTCAGCATTCGTCTAATTGTGTAGGCGAAATCGAGTATCAAGAGTACGAACCTCATAGGCACCAAACTTGATTGCAGACTCTGGCATAACCTTCACCACGTTCAAGCCATTCCCTACTTATAGTTAGTCGTTGCCACTTCGAGTCCAGATCGATAAGAACGACAAACCTGCGAACAAACTCCGTATTCCTCCGGCCCGCCATAATACTTTGAGGGCGTCGAGCAATGTTTTGGAAGCGTTCCCTGCCGCAACCAACGGGGCTCCGTCCTTCGCCGCCTGAACCGTTGCTTTGACACCGGTCTGCGCAATGAGATAAACTTTGAGACGATCGAGTGGGGCGGTGGCCGTTCTTGACACGGCACCCGCAATTCCGCCTGCAAGGAAGTAGCCTAGTTGAGGGGTATTTTCGGTCAACTTCCGTCCATAATATCGGAAAAACATCCGCATGGCGGTAGTCTGGGGAAGAGGCAACCACTCCAAATCCAGGTCGCCGTCTAGGGCAAAATCATGCTCGAAAACGGGTCTCAAATTTTGGACCTGGCTGGTTTGCGCGTGCGCTGAAGGAAAGAGGGAGGCCAAAGCGGGGAGGGACAAAATGTTGTACAAAAAGTGTTGAGTGGCCAGAATATAAGGTGAAAGAAACGGATGGTTTGTACCTAAACCCTGCAGGTCATTGATGTGGACATCTCCTTCCGGGTTTAGATTGCCCGTAGCCGTGTAGTATGAAAGAACTGCGTGTAGGTCGGTCGGGGACTGGAGAGGAAGGAATAGAAGGAAATCCCTAAAGAAAATGTTATATGTCAGACTAGGCTGTCCAGCCTTCACTTGACCAGTGCGCATGCACATACCTCCATTCTGTGTAAGAGATCACTCCGTCATTGTTTTTGTCGACTTCGGCGAAAAATCGGTCCAACTTGGCGTTTGAGACCGTGACTCCGGAACGTGAAAAGGCATTCCGCAATTCAGTCTTGTCGATTGCTCCGCTATGATCTCGATCGATGCTCTGGAACATTTGCGATAGCCCGTCCTCAGTGCGGTTGAGAAATGCTCGGAATTCTGGTGGTGATTAGGATTGGACTAAGGATTTGGCGGCCAGGGCACCCCTTCCCCGAGTGGTGGCTAGGTGGTTCTCATGAGCTTACCAGCTTGGTCGATACGTCCATCGCCATTCGTGTCCACCTCCCGCACGACATTCACTACCATATCGTCTGCATTTTTTAGAGCTAGAAAGAGATTAGGAAAGCACGCAAACATAGCGAGTAATCCTTTCAAACTCACGATGATCGATTTTCTTCAACCCTTTCTTTAACCCAGTCAGGTCGATATGGCCCTCTCGTCGAGTATCCAAGGTTTCCCAGAGTTTGGCGACTCGTTTGTCGCGTTCATCTTTTGACTCTTCGGATGCCATGATGAAAATTGTTACCGAGCAACCATTTCTTTGCTTAAAAGGGGATGTTCAAAGAAACAAAACCCCTAAAAGTTGAGGGGAATCAGATCGAGGGGAACATAAAAAGATGACGTGAATAAAAGTTATGCGTATGAATAGCCCTGTAATGATTAATTGGCGCCCGGCGATTTGACCTTTGACGCCATCGGATTATCTTGCACCGGACCAGGGCCAAGCCCTACTATCCCTTTTTGGGATTGTCAACCTGACCTCATATTAGACTTGATTTTCTTATATATTGTTTATTGTTTGTATTGTGTTTTATTTTTCTATTGTGGTGATTTTGCATTCTTCTTTCATTTCAATACGTGGCCTGCGGGGTCAGCTGTATAGCCCCCCGGACTTCGGATCAACCATGTCATGACGGCTTTCAATTTGTGAGCTTTGCCATCATCAAACTTTCAATATGGCAGCCAACTACTGGGCATCATCCCAGCGTCGGCACTGGCTATTCTCTAGAGAGAGGTTAGCAGATATCCGTGAAGGATTACGGGAGAAGGACAAAGTTGCCCATTCGCAGTTCCCGCTACCAGATCAGCGACTACTGAATATTTACTTTAATCAGCGTAAGTTCTATTAATATGTTGATTGTTTTGAAATTTCAGGCTGATTTGAATAATAAGAGCTCATCAAGCTCGGCAAACGCATGTCCACCAGGCAGCAGGCCATTGCGACAGCACAGGTGTATCTCAAGAGATTCTATACCAAGAATGAGATTCGACAGACAAGTCCATACCTTGTACTCACCACCGCTTTCTATCTCGCCTGCAAGATGGAAGAGTGTCCACAGCATATCCGCTTTGTGGTCAGCGAAGCGCGCGGTCTGTGGCCAGGTATGCATCCATATATAAATCCATAAACAAACCAAAATGCTAACTATTCACAGAATTTATCACCCCGGATGTGGCAAAGCTTGGAGAATGCGAGTTTGCCTTAATATCCGAATTAAGCTCTCAACTCATCGTGCATCATCCTTATCGGACTTTGTCTGAACTTCAAACCGACCTATCACTCACCTCAGACGAAGTCGCCCTCGCCTGGTCGGTTATCAATGATCATTATCTGACGGATTTACCACTTCTGCATCCGCCTCATGTCATTGCAATCATGGCAATCATTGTTGCCGTTGTATTCAAGCCGCCCCATCCCTCTACTTACGCCGGAACCGGGCAATCGGCTTTGGCAGGCTCTATGAGAGATGGAGGTGGCATGCAGATGCTGGCCGCTTTATCAGATAAAAATGGATCTGGTCCGCCTCCTAAAATTCAGAAGCTTGTCAGTTGGCTTGCGGAAAGCGAAGTCGATATTAAAGCTGTCATCGAATGTACACAAGAGCTGGTCTCATTGTACGAGGTGTGGGAGCAATATAGCGAGAAGAACTGCAAGGAATTACTTGGGAGGATGGTTAAGAGCAAGAACTTGGACAAGTGATGCCATCTCGTATTTTGTACTTTAACAAAACCCTTATATATCCCCGATAGGCAGCTGAGCCACGTCTGCCTAATCTAGTTCTGCCAGGTTTCTTTTTCCTCTTTCGTGAACACTTTTTACTGTCTATCCACCTAGTAATATTAATAAGGTTGCGGATCAAAAATAGGCCTCGAGAGTAATGATTATAGTTAGAATCGGCTTTCGGGCCAAAGACAAGTATTGTGATGTGTGACAATGGATAAACCTAGGAACAACAAAAGAACACTACAATATCTGTGAGACTATCCCCTTCATATCCACCCTCCACTGTTGGAAAAGTGGCAATCCAAGCTCTTCCAAGATCTTTGGAGATGCATTGTTCAGCTGCTGCAACAACCAATTCTCGTGAACAAATTCAGGGTCACTTTGGACTCGAAGTTTATGCTGCGTGGTCTGAGGGTCAACGAACATCTGAAACGCCTTTGCTCTCTCGTTTGCATATATGTCTAACAGATCGAATGGCTTTCCTTCAAGAATAATCATCTCGAGGATATCACATAGGGCTTCGGAGTCAATCAGGCCTGTTGAAAGTCCCATACCACCCATGGGCTAGTAGCGATAAGGTGAGTATCAAAGGCATATCATAAAGGAGACGAAGAACTAACATTGTTAAGATGAGCTGCATCTCCCGCGAGCACACATCTTCCCCTTCTGAAAGTAGAAGCACACAATTGGTGGATCCGATAAAGAGAAGACTTGATTATTTCTGCGTTGATTGGCCTAGGGCCAGGAAGCATTTTCTCCAGAAGAGATGTGACATGAGCGATTGAATTCATCTCATCAACTGGTGTCTGGTCTTCTTGGTCCAAGCTAACAGCACACCGGTATAAAGTTCGTTTTCCAGCCTCGACGGGTTTTAATGGCGTAATAATGCCCCAATGTATTGGGTGTACGATCATCTGGCTAGGGAACTCAGGATCAAGGTTTGGATCCTCGAATAAAAAGTCGATGGCCATTAGTCTCTCTGGCCAGCTGTGTCCTTTCAGAGGGATATCCAAAAGCTTCCTGGTAGCCGACTGACCGCCATCGGCACCCACTAGATATGATGCCTGGAACGTTGTCTCGATGTCATCTCTCCTGGTCGTAGCCCTGATACATGAGGCATTTTGTTCGATTCTGATGAGGGTCTCTTCAAAATGCACAGTGACCAAGCCAGTTGCGGTTGCTTTCTCGAATAACAGTTTGGTCAGCTCCGGCTGCGGCAAATACAAGATGCCACCGACACCATGGGACTGTTTGGTATCTCGAGGAATAGGCAAACGAGCGATCACATCACCCATCGTGTAACCTCCCTCTCCATCCTCGCGGATCGGCTTACGCCAACAAAAACCCCCAGAAATAAACCCTGCCTTCTCCATATCTGGTAGCACACCCATCTTATCTAAGGCAATCAGTGCACTTGCGTAATATGCCACGGCACGCGGTTCCTCGCCTAGTCTCGACTCCTTCTCGACCACGTCAACCACAATACCAGCTAGCGCGAGTCTCAACGCAGTAGCAAGTCCAACCGGGCCTGCACCCACAATTAGCACATTCTTTTGTTGCTTCTCTGACATATGGACAGATTTCGAAGGTTGCGATGCCATGGTTTTCCAATAACAAGCTTATATGAAATGTAAGAGAATGAGAGGATGCGGGGAAATGGGTAAGCCTGTGGAAGACCCCCGGAACAATTAGATGCTTACTTGAGTCATATATGCAGGGCTATATATTGTAGGGAAGTCGAAATTGATTGTCCTACTTTGTGTTACTTTTCAGACGTCGAACTAATGAAATCCGCTGCTACTTCGACAATGCCGGTCATCCATATATGTACATAAGTCATAGGCACTACCTAGGTAACAATCTAATGCAATAAATTCTTAGGAGGGAAGGGTCTCTTCTATTACTTTTCCGGTTTTGGTTTCGTCCGGTAAAATGAATTTTGTCTAGTCTCTCAATTGCTCCCATGTTCTATGTAGTAACGGCCCAGCCTGACACGGGAAACAAATATCACCTACAAGCTTTTGAGACAGGATGTATCTCTATTACACATCTTTTTTAATCCTCCTTAGTATGTATAAATGTACGTGAAAAGTTCGTGGAGGGTAACATCGCCTGGTTGGGTATTACCAGGTCCAGCATACGCCGGATGCATTTCAGTCTGGCCCTGAGTCGATGATGTTGGTGTCAATTGAAATCCAGATACCTGCTATAGTTCAAGGGAACGTTAGAATCCTTAAGGCCTTGACAGTATACTATTGAGAGAGGAAGAGGTGACAAAGAGAAAATGGAGGGGGGTTTATACATCTAGGTGGAGACCTCGCGCCTTCCCAATCCATAGATAGCTTCATTGCAGCCTCAGGCCTTCAAAGTTTGATTCTACTGCGGCGATCTAATCTACTTTAGATTAGTGACAATTAATTACTGTCTATCTCAGCGTCTGCAATCCCATAGTCGTCCAGCGCACAATGACCTGTTCATTAGATGATCATTGGATAATTAATCTTTATGTGTCTCAACGTGCTTAGAATGCTACAGCTACTGGTCTTGCGTGGCGTTATTGTAGGGGGGATAGAAAGAAAGCTAGCAGATGGTTGTCCGGGTAGCATCTATATGGCATAGCCCTACTCCGTATTTTAACCAATATTAGATTCCAAGAGCTATGAGGTGAAAGAGACAAGTTGAATTCCCAAGGCCAGAATATAACGCCCTTCGAAGGCCTGCAATCCAAATAGCAGCTACCAGGTTTGATTAAAGCCTATATAAAGAGAGTTTGCAGCGATGGTTATAGAAATACGAAGATATATAGATAGGTGTAGCATCCCGCAGTCTTTGTGATCTGACAAACAAAGCATGCAGTTTCCAACCTTGGATTCCATCTTATGAAAGGCACTGAGTAACCGTACCTAGGTAGCAATTACTCAAGTTTAAGAAGGATAAACAGCCGAAATGATGTTTAAAGTATATAAGAATCTAGACTTATCACTTTATCTTATTGTCATACTGTCATGTTGTGCGACAAGCATAGCCTCGACTCCGCAAATCGCGGTTTCAATATCACCCAGAGTGTGAAACCAGAAATCACCTTCCGACTCGGACAGAAACATTTGCCACGATGTAATAGGTATCACATATTTCCAATTCAACCAGGGCCACTAGAATAGTTGCTAGTCCCTTGCGCGGTGTTATCCGGGGATCGGATCGCAGGATAGGATAGTCACTAAATTACATACTTCATGCACTGGAACCCCACGATTTCACGCACCAAATCAATGCATTCTGCATCGATGGATAGATCAGCTGCATGGTTCAAGCTTCGGCGCAACGTTTACGGAGTATAATAATATATGTGATATATCCGATCTCGGCAGTGCGGCTGTGCCTCGTGAGATTGTGCTAGTAAGTAAAGGGGCGGTGAAGCCAAAGACTGGAGAGACAGCTGGTGGTACGTTGTTTCTAGTAAAGTTTGGGGCTTAATCCTTTTCGGTGCCGTGTAAATAGAATGGAAGTTATCACTGGAGGAAGGTCGGCACATCATGCAACTGATGTTCCAGTAGGCGCCGTGAGATCATTTGCAGGTCCATATCCCAATCAGGAACAAAGAACGGAAATAAAACCGGAAATAGCTCCCAGATCTATCCAAAAGAATAGTGGGAACTCACAGTGGATTTTTATTCGGTCGCATAAATACCGTGAGTCACGGGTAGGCAATGCTACCCAGCGAGAAGGCGAAAAAGCGCCTTAGGCCCCTGCCCTAGTCCGGATTCTGCATTGATGGACTCCGATTTGGAAGGGTGTGAGCTGATAAGGTAGGATCTCAAGATCCCTACCAATAATAGGCGGGTTCATCTGCAGCTAGGGCTACGGGTGTGTCTCGAGACCAACAAGGTTTTCTTGGAGGGTCTTTGCGCTGTTTGTCGAAGGATTGGGGAATTCGTACGGAGCCGATCAAAGCAAGATCAGCAGCCACTGCCGATTCACCCTATAGGGGGAATGGAGGGGAATGTGCCTGGGAAGGCAAAAAAAAAAAAGCGCCATGCCATGCACACACAGCCTGCAGCTAAGTCCCGAAGGGCTGTGGAAAATTTTCAGCTTCCCCAACCCCCATGAGGAACGGAGAGAGTAGGAGATTTACTTTTCCAGTTTTCACTGCATTTTTTCACTTTTACATCATATGTAGGTTATAAACAAGCAATTTCAGTATCTGATCAAGATAGAAATATGTAACAATCGTCATTGTTCTGGGGCAATCCTACACCAGAGTTAGATTCTGGTATGTAGCCCTGGAGTGGTCATCACTAAGAGATCTTCCTAATCGGGTAGTGTTCCAGTCGACGACGTCAGGTTTTTGTTTCAGTATTTCAGTATTTTAGTATTTTAGTATTTTTAGTAATTTGAAGTATTTCAGTAGGCCGTTGAAGATCCATTTGAGAAGATCTGTGGGTTATTATTGGTTATTGAGGTTATTGCCACTCCGTTAGCGCTTTGGTCTGGTTGGTGCGTCGATGTAAGTGTCTTTTCATCTCTGACAATACATAACTGTAATCATCCATATTAAAAGTGTAATATATCGTAATAACAGTAATCGTAACCATCCGTCCCCATAACACACCCCTCCCCCTCTTTTTCCCTTCGCCTCTTCCCACACACTCTCTCCTCTCTTCTCATTAATCCTCCTTTCCACTTTCAATCTCATCGATCTTTCTATTTTTCTATTTTCTTTTTTGTAACTTTCTTATCTTCTAAACACCTTCTCACTTTCGGGTGCTGGATTCTCAAACAATGTCTGCCTACTTCTATAACCAACACCACCAACACCAGCAACACCCTCACCATGGTGCTCATATGCAGTCTGCAACAAATACCCACCATGGACGTTCTCGTCGTGCCCCAAAGATGGCCTCGCAGAATGCTCAGCGCCAGTTCCGAGGAGTCAAGAGTATGCGGGAATTGGCGGAAGCTCCGGCTGTGACGGCTTTCCGTGCAAGATTCGAGGCTGGTCGGTCCTTTGATCTGGACGACGATCTTGAATTCTGCCCAGGTCTCCTGACTGAGGATGATGTATGTCATGATCCCCCGAATTTTCTCTCACCCCCTATCCATTACCTCTTCAAAGATCGTCATAGATCTCAATTCAGATAAATCACTAGGGGAGCAATCTTGTTAACATGTTTTATTTGTAGCTGCACTCCATCCACTCCGCTTCAGACCGCTCTTCTCTCTCCAGCGGCTCACCGGACACTTCACCTTTGCAGCACCAAATCCAACCGGTGCAGCAGGTGACTCCGTCCATCTCTTTGTCCCCCGCTCAATCCAACTCATACGTTCACCCTGGTGTTGCCGGCAACCCTAATCATGTCAACTACCAGCAGCAGCAACCTGCGAACCGGACTCGCAAGGTCATTCCGATTATCAACCCCTCAACCGGAATGTCCCTGTCAAGCCCACCTTCATCGATCTCGCCCGCGATGATGCAGACTGCTCAGCGTCGATGGTAAGGGTGCCATCTGCCAAAGTCGTAGGCTGGTACCCTACATCTCCACTCGTCCATTGCACGTCCGTTATCTAAGCTGTTCTGCATCATCGGGGTCCCTTGATCGCAGGTCATAATGTCTTTTTTTTTTCTCCATTTGCATTCTTGTCCGATACGTCTATTGCATTCGACACGACACACAACCTGGAAAAATCTTTGTTCCACGAACACGGCGACAAAAAAAAATCTTCAAAAATTCGAAAACAAAAAACCGATCTGTACATACACTCTCCTCTTCGCCGATTACGACCACCTTCGCCTCATATTCTAGATCCTTTGCGATACTCTTAGCTTGTTGCGAGCGACGGCGCCTGCGATTCAATACCTTGCATCCTTTTCCTACGATACCTCCTTCGTCTCTCAGGGAGGGACGAATACTTTCTTCGGCCTATATTTCTTTTTTTTTTCCGGTTGGGCCACCGATGATGTACAGAACATACGTGCAGTGACATTGCTACTTGACGTTGCATGTCCACGACCTTTGGAGTTGATTTTACCTTTTTTTATGGGAGGGTTTTGCGTGCAAACGACTTTGCCAGATACACCTACGCTGTGGCACTTTTTTATTTTCTTTCTACGATCTCTTTTGGGTTTTTGCTTTACCGGGGCGGGAATGGTTATCATTTTCAAGGATCTAGAGGCGGAAACGATACACGTCTGCATTGCTTGGGCACTGTTGAATATCTTGGGTTGCTTTTTATTGCTTTGTTACCTTCTACTTTTCTCATCTTTTACGGATTGTTTCTCTGTACATCGAATTTGGGGATTGGTGAGCAACGCTTCCTTGCCACTGGTATGTGGCTGGTTGGGTCTGGTAGCGAAACCATGGGATGCGGAGTTGTTTCTGTTTGAAATCGATATCCTTGGGGGTCTCTCGCGGTGTGCGAGTCTAGACCATTATGCACTTAAAATGCTTTCATATTTACTCTCCTTTCATCTCATATTTTGGCTCTGTATTTCTTTTATTACCTTTTTGGGGGACTCCCGGAGAGTTATCACATTGTATGATGTTGATTTTCATTGAGTCTTGCATCTATCAAGTTCGATCACATCTCTAGTTCGTATCGTCTTGATGCCCTAGCGAGACTAAGTTGCAAATTGCGTAGGTTTTCTTAGCCAGAAGCAATATACTTGTTTTGTGGGCTAGGTATATAGATGCGTCTTCAAGCCTTATACTCCAGGTCATTCCAGTACCAAATACAAATACCACTATATAATACACTCATATTGAAGTCCTAGTTTGAATCTTTGAATTGGGATGGAAACAGTACTCTACAGGTGTTAAAGTTCTGTTTTCCTGCTTTGTCTTGATCTGATCAAACTCTGATATATATAAGATCATCAGTGGTTGTTGCCCAGGTGGGAAATAGGTAAGAATATATATATGGCAAAGTGGGCAAATGACTTGAACAAATAGTTTTTTGCCTACAAGGCTTATGCCCTTAAACTATAAAACTAATGGCACAAAAGCTATGATCAGATCTCTAATTAATAGTTTGATCATCTGGAGATCAAAAGGCAAAGATGATATTGTTCTACGCCAACAACGCAATGTCAGTGCTTCAATAGGCAGTGAAACAAATCTAAATCAAATAAAAAACAAACCATACTTAACATGTCATAATGGGACATCTCTATAACTTCTCTAATATGTTTCATGTATGTCGTACCTCCTGCATGATTGGGCCCCTACCCGCTGGCCCTTGTTTCAGGATCAACTAACCACATCCAAACACCCACAGGCCCCAAGGTCTCATGTGTCAAACCCACGCGCCAGGGGAATCCCCCCACTCATCTAAGACGTCACGTAGTAACAGACAAATTAGAAGGGTACATATATAGATATTACCTGCGTACTCCATACGGATTACTCCGTATGTACTATCCTCTCCGGCGCTAACCCCGAGGCCCCTCACCTCCTGACACATCCACGGAGTATGTGTCGCTCTGGTCTAGGACCGAATAGCGTCTACTGTGAAGCATGCCCAGCTTAGGCCAAGAGCTTTGTAGTGTAGCACTTACCTCCGATAGGTGGATGTGAAAGGCTGGACCAGAAACAAACGCTCGCACTACAATATACGTACTGTTGTTGGGTCGTTCTTGCCTTTTAGGGTTGTTTTAATGTCTCTCCTGCCCATATGAAGTTTCATTTTGTCTTATTTTGCTTCTATTTTGTTGATATTGTTCTTGTTCGCGTTTCTACTCTCTTTGTTTTTTTTTTCCCGCTCCTCTTCTGCATTGTCTAACATTGTATTGTTCTATTTCCTTTCTTTTCCATTCTTGGCTGCAGGTATTCAAGTCGGGACTACTGCCTGTTGACGTTCATTTTGAGACATTGACATTGTCTTTCCATCCATTCAGAACAAGCCTGTCCTTGCAGATCTGGGGAGCTGTTGGATACTTACCTTCTTTTCTTGTCTTTTCTTGTCCTTGATCCTTGTTTCTCTGTTTCATTGCATTCTTTAATATCAAGTTTTTAGGCTGGTCCTGATCTAACCACTTTTTTTTTCGGTTTTGATATCCCAAATTGGGGCTTTGGGCAAGATGCAATTCATTCTTTTTCTCGTTGTTTTCTTTTCGCTGAGCTTCAATGCTATTTCTATGCCCGTGGCTCCTCTGAATCACCTTCAAGGCCGGTCCTTCAAGGTAGAGAGAGTCAGGCGCAATAACTATGTCGCTCATGGACCCGCAGCACTGCGCAAGGCATACCGCAAGTTCGGAATTGACGCAACAACCCTCGATGGTGTGGACGTGAGCGACTTCCAGCCTTTCGAAACCAAGCATACCACTTCTATGAAAACTGCAAAGGAAGCCGTGGTGAATTCTGAACAGACGGGCGCCGTCGATGCCACATCTGTTGATGGAGACGTGGAATTTGTCTCGCCAGTCAATATCGGAGGCCAAACCCTCGATATGAATTTTGACAGCGGCTCTGCTGATATGTAAGTTTTTTGTTTTGTTACTTTGAAAGATTGGTTGGCTAGCAACATATTTCGATGTTCCAGCTCAAGGAAATCTTCAGAACTAACCAATTGCCATATAGGTGGGTGTTGAGCTCGAAACTTCCGAAGTCACTGCGAAACAGTCGGACAGTATACGAACCGAGCAAATCCAGCACCTTTGAAGAACTTGACAACAGCACATTTGAGATCAAGTACGGCGACTCATCTTATGCCACTGGCGGAGTAGGCAAGGACGACGTCTCGATTGGCGGCGTCAAAGTCGCTGGGCAATCATTCGGCCTTCCGACGGATATTTCGCAAACATTCGTTGATGACACCAAGTCTAACGGACTCGTCGGTCTGGGTTTTTCCTCAATCAACACTATCACGCCAAAGTCACAGAATACGTTTTTCGACAACGTCGCCCCCAGCCTCGGCGAGCCAGTCTTCACCGTCCGACTGCTCAGCAATGGCGTCGGCGAGTATGAATTTGGAACCGTTGATCCGAACAAGTACCGGGGCGTTATGGTCAATGTCAGCGTGGATTCATCTAATGGATTCTGGCAATTTGACTCCGCAAAATACGCCGTAGGAGGGGGTCCATTGCACCAGATCACGAAGACACCCTCGGCCATTGCTGACACTGGCACCTCGCTCATGATGGTCAGCCCTGAAGTTGCGGAGGCATATTACAAGCAAGTCGATGGCGCTATATACGCCAATAATGCCAATGGGTATATTTTCCCCTGCACTTCGAGCTTGCCTAGCCTATCCGTTGCGATTGGACCCGGTTATTCGGTTACTATCCCTGGATCGTTCATGAATTGGTCCGAAGTTGGAACCAACACGACTACTGGTGAAACAGGTCAGTCTTTTTTTTTGGTTCAAGCTTTTTTGAGTTATGTTCTGAGCTAACCTTTTTTTTTCGATAGTGTGTTATGGTGGCCTTCAGTCGAGTGGAAGTTCAAGCATGGCGATCTATGGCGATGTGTTTTTGAAGGCCTTGTTTGTGGTCTTTGATCAACGTGGGCCTTCTCTGGGATTCGCGGCGCCTGTTTAAGCAAAAGATTCCAAGATCTATCAACTTCCCAAGTTGGGTGATTTAATGTACAGATTAGAAAATCAAATATTTCCACCTTTTCATGGTTGACAGTGATGTAGAGAGGAAAAAATTGCATTAATATGCACAATAATAATACGAACTTGGAAATTTTTATTTCTTCATATTCTCATGGGTATGCGTTTAGTTTTATTTTCAGATATACCGAACACCTTAACATCCCTTACCGCACAGTGGCATTAGTCAAGCTCTTAACAGTACAAACACCACCAGAGGCAGCAACAAGCTTGCCAAGGGCAGGCTTGCCCTCCTGTCCATGGACGGAGGGAACAGCACTGCTATCAAAGGCAACCTCAAGGTCTGCAGTGGTGGTGAAGCCAGGCTGGAAAGTCTCCCAGACCTTCTTCTTGGGGTTAAGCTGCTTCTCAGGCTGACCATCATTCCAGCCCTCGAAGCTGATCCGCTCACCGGCAGGAGCATCGGCAGGCGGGTTAACGAGCTCGACAGGACCAGCGTGCGAGTCCTCGCCCTCAGCAACACGCGGGGACGCGGCTAGAACCATGGCACACGACTTGACGCCACGCATGGTCACAGGCTTCAGGTTGCACACGGCAACGATCTTGCGGCCCTGCATCTCCTCCAGCGGGATCAGACCGTTCAGGCCAGAGCACACAGTGCGCACGGTCTTGCCAGTCTCCTCATCGAGAGAGGTGTTGTCGCTGCCCGGGGCATCGCCGCAGTCGATTGTGGACACGTACAGAGAGTCCGCGTTGGGGTGGTTGATTGCGCGAAGGATGTGTCCGACACGCAGGTCAATCAGTGATGGGGCCGGGGGCGCAGCGGCGGCAGGAGCGGGCTTGGGGGCCTTCTCTTTCTTCTCCTTCTTCTCCTTTTTGTTGGTTTTCACGGGGGCGCCGTCGGCACCGGCCTGGGTCTGGGCTTTGGCGGCTTGCTCAGCCTTACCTTGGCCGATGACAAGGGGCTTGGACTCATTGTTGGCGTCTGGGTTCTGGGCGTTGGCCTTCTCACGCTTCTTGCGCTCTTTCTCCTCCTTTGGGTCGACGGGCTTGGGAACGAACTTGACGTCGTTCAGGTCGATGGCGACTTTCTCCTCCTCGGGGATCTGGAGCGAGAACAGACGGCCGTTCTGCACGAAGTCAATGTGACGTACGATGTGGTGGTAGCCCTTTTCTCCGGTGCGCTCTTCGGGAGTCCATTTCTCGACGACAGGGGCAAGGAGAGCGTAGATGGCAATATCGGCGACCGAGGGCTTCGCGCCGAGCAGGGTGGTGCGGGTGGCCAGGTGGATGTTCAGCTGGTCAAGGATTCCAACGGTGACGTCCTTTTCATCATTGGCGATGGAAGTCTTCAGGCCGGAGACAGTGTTGAGCCATTGCTTGATGTCGGCTTCCTCTGCCTCATTGAAGGTGACCTGGGGGAAGATCTTGCCCGAAGCGTGGAGGTAGTCGGGCTCGGTCGAATCGGGAGAGATCACGGTAGGATACGACCGGTAGAGAAGAGAGAGGAGAGAAGTCTCGGGAGCTGCTGCCGTCGCCATGGTGTATGTTCGTGGAGAGGTTGGGAGTGGAAGAAGAGAAAATCGAGGAGGGGCACGGATTTGTGTCAACGATTGGACCCGCGGGGTTACCAGTCGGGCCCGCAATAGGGTCGACCTGAGAGAATTCAACTTGACGACGATCCCTTTTATATAGGGATCTGGTGCAATTAATTGTTTTAATTAATAATTCAAGCAATCGCCTTGGGATGCTATTTTTTCCTGGCCGTGCTGCGTTTGCTGACTCAGCGACTGACCTATCCATCTCAGGTAGGTAGGTAGGTAGGTAGGTACCCACAATTAACAGACAGACCTTAGGCTTGTTACTAGAGGATTTGAGATGTCTCATCGTGTGTTAAAAAAAAAAGTCGTCTTGATCACGGCATTCCAATATACCACCGTCTCCCACTGTTGGAAGAATATAACACCAAATTTACTTTCTAAGAAGACTAAAACAAGCTCTTTGAGCTAAACTATCCTCAACAGCGGATGTATCTATTTGCATCTATCTTCAGCAGTTTGTCCTGTGATATACTGTTATCACCTTGTCTTATGTTGAACAGAGACCTGTCAGCTTAGCAAAGTGAAGGAATAGATGTACGGCAGTTTCAATGTCTACATCCTAGTCCCTATCAATAAACACAAACCAAATCAAGAGGACAAGCAGATTGCTATCAGATCTGGACTGTCATACATAACATTGACTAGAAACTTTGCCGTGAAGCTGCAAATTTGATTTGGACATAGTCGATAAATCCTATTCTTATAGAGGTTTGAATCTACAGGTCACAGGAAGTTTAGCACTTGCTTCCACAATAATACGTGATTTTTAGCTAACATGGAACTCATTTCTTCTGCTATTCCTGTTTCACCACCGCCCACCAATTTTTGATGGTATATCAAGTAACAGAGCAAGCAACAGACCATTTGGCCTTCAACTCATACCGGGCAAGTCTTCCATTTGACCCGAATACCTGCAGCTAATATTTGCTGCCGTGCTGTTTCACCTTCGCTCATTCCAATATCCGGGTTGGCACCAGCTTTAGCAAGCATCTTAATGACCTCCCTATTGCCTACATCAATTGCCTTCAACAGGGCAGTTTGTCCTGTGTTGGTTTGCTTGTTGACGTCAAGCCGCTTCAATTCTAGCAAATATTCCAAGGTTCCACTGTCTCTTGCTGATTAAGACTAACAGCAAGTAATAATGGAAAATTATCAGTCGGACCAAGATTCGGATCAAGCCTATTCTGTGCAAGGAGGAGTCGGGTGATATCGTACTTGTTAGTGGCGATGCAGTAACAAAGCGGTGTCCTCCCCTGGTTGTCTTGGGAATTGATATCGACCTCATCTGGCATGCGAACAACTCTCTCGGTAAATCTAAGAACGATTGGCGAGGTGGAATTACAACCCATAGCAATGCCCAATGGTGTACAGCCATAATTGTCCCGCTCATCAAGTTTGATCCTTGGGTCTGCAAGAAGAAATTCAAGTAGAGTAGTATCCGGATTGCTTGACTTGAACTGACACCCTACAAATACCATACCCAAGGGGGTGCGGCCGTGCGCGTCTTTTGCACTGGGGTCTGCGCCTGCTTGGAGCAGTGCCTGCCCGATTTTGGGTTGATAATGCAGGCATGCTAAATGAAGCATCGAATCCATTACCGATAGGGACCCCACAGAATTTGGGTCAGCCCCATAGGCAAGTAGTAGCTTGACGTGCCGATATGCTCTTGCTTGTTGTTTCTGTGTATTTTCTAGATCCCAGCTTGGGTAATATGCCGTCGATGATTTGATTGGATCGCGCATCCACAGAACGCCGTCTTCAAAACGATGGTTGGGGTCAGCCTCCCACTTCAAACAGTTCGTGACGGATTTCCACTCGTCGTGCTCGTTTCTTCAAGGGATAAATCGTATTTACTTTTGGATGGTCAGAATAAGTTCCATCAATGCCCATCCGAGCAAGCCGTCTTTACCAACTAAAAACTGTATCAACTCGACATTTTGTTGTATACCATATAATACAATTGTTTGCTTGCACTCCACAGCGCTGTTTCCGAGACATCAGAGAGTACTTCGATTGCCTTGATGAATGACTCTTTCTTATTCCTTTCCAGGCTTCGTTCAAATGCACGCAAGTCCTGTATACCTCGCCGGCAAAGGTATGCACCTAAGAAGTGATAGAGATCACGATTTGCTCGGCAAAGATTGTAAAGCTCGTTGTCTGATAGCTCACGCTCAATGAGAAGCATCAGTTCGGCAGGTAGGTCAAGCAGTGATTTTGCCCCAAGTTGTGATCGCCAACTTCGCTCCAGTAGCGACGAGGCTAGATCAACCGTTCTTTGAATCGCTTTTTTCACTTGGTGCTTCTTGCGTCTCCATGTTCTAGGATAGTAGGCAGGCCCATTGTCCGATTGGGTAGCTGATTTATTGGGAGTAGACCGCGTGTCATAGTTTTGCGCGATAAATGTAATCAAAACTCTCTGGTCGGGGAGCAAAAGACCAGTCCACGATTTCTCTTCTTGAAAGAAGGCCTCAAGGAGATTGGACAAACGGATTGCTTCTGCTGGCAGACTTGGAAGACTCGTTATATTTGATTTTGTCATGTTGTCAGATAGTATTTCTGCCTTTTCTGAAGGCTGTAGAGGCTGTCGGTGGTGGTGACTGATCATGATTCTGCCTGAACTCTATAAAGAGGCTCTAAGGCCGTGGTCATAATATAGTCATGAAGAGAATACTAACTATTCTTACTTTGTACTTCTTATACTTGTTCCTCTGAAGATATTGGAATTGCTAGAGATTAGAGAAAGATTAAATCTACACGATTCCAGCAACTCCCTAGCAGCCAGTATCTTAGATCCTGAGTCAATATAGCAATAGAAATGAGCACAGATTTGGCTAATATAGTCGGCTCTTTCTTTTTCTTTTTCTTCCTATCGTACTTTTCTGTATTGCCTGCTCAAAATTGATGCCCGACCGGAAGAACGTTTCCCGTGCAGTCCGACCTGTGCTATCTCGAAGGTCTAGATCAGCACCAGCTCTAATAAGTAGTCCGATTATATCCCTCGAAGTTGGCAACGTCAAAGCGAGACGCCCATTGCTGTTTTTCCGGTTTGGGTTGGTTGCCTTTGTGCTTAGTAGACTTCCCACCATCGCTTTCATCCGATTCTGAACAGCGAAAAACAAAGGCAAGTGCGTAGTATTGAGATTCGGATTGATGTGACTCTGCGACAGCAACAGCTTGGCAACCCTTATGTTTCGGCTTTGCACTGAGTGATATAATACCGTCTTTCCATCAATGTCTTGGGAATTGATATCGACTTTTCCGAGCATTTCGTTCACAAACTAAGCAGAGACGGAACTGTTAACGCTGGCAGCAATGCTCAAGGGAGTTCGTCCATCCTCGTCACGCTGGTCGAGTTCAATTCCTGGAGTTTGAAGAAGGGCATTGATTGTATTTTTGCAGGGAATTTTGTGGCGATAACAATGATTTCGACCAACAGCCATGTGAAGAGGCGTTTTCCCATGGGGGCCGATTTTGTTTACATTGGCGCCATTTTTGATCAATTCCGTCACAATATCTGACTTGCCTAAGGACTTGCACAGGGAGACTGCCACATGAAGTGCCGATGTTTTGTCGGATATATAGATTTTTGGATCAGCTCCATATTCGAGCAAAAGTTGGACATTGCGGACGTTTCCTGTTCGCCTTGAAAGACTGCAGGGTATTTCAATTTCATGCTCCAAAGTGTCAGCACAAAGACTATGGGTACTGCAGATAGCGGTGAACAGTATTGGAATAAGCCCATAATTCAATTCAAGGAGGAAGGGATAATCACTGAGACAATTTAGATCAGTTCCTTGTTCGAGGACCTCTTTGACAGATAGATGTCTGGTTTCTTTGTGCCAGTTCGGATTTTTCAAATTGTGCAACAAGGTGTCCACGAGGAACTGACGATACAATTTCCCAATAAAGCCCCCTTTAGAAGCCATACACTGCAGCATATGGATATTGTTAGCGTTTATCATAGGAAACAATTTCCATGTGAACTCATGATTCGTTCTTCCAGGAATCCTCGAGAGTTCTTCAATTGTCTTTTCGTAAACTGTCAGCTGGCAATGTCTCAAACTCCATTCTAGGGCCATGAAAACCCTGTTCAGTGGTCTCCAGAGCTCAGCGCCTATCACGTTGGAAAATAGGCGATTCAATTGACAGAGACTAATGAGAGTGTTTTGCGGTAGTGGAGCCGCGATAAACTGCAACAACTCGTTGGGGAGATCCAGTATCGATGTTGTGAAAACTTGTTTCTTCCAATCATGAAAAGCATCGGTCATAAAGACTTGCTTGGCGTCTTTGAGAAAGACTTTGGTTGCCTTTCGCCCTAGCTTTTTATGTCTCAACCAACTCTTCGGGAAATATAATTGGTCCGACGCAAGATTTCGAGCAGTAGAAATAGACATGCCAAAGCTACTTGTGCTAGTCTGTCCTGGCTCAGAATAGTTCATGACGATGAAATAAATCAGATCCATCTCATCGGGCTTGATTTTGAGGGACCACCGAGGGTTTGCATGGATGTATCCAACAATACTGAATGCTGCTTGGACTGTCTTGATTGTTGTAGAATCCAATGGCGCAGAATTAGACAACGACATACTTAAAGAAAACTGAGGCAGATGTCGTGGATGCGTGTTTAAGGAAGGTATTACTGGCAGATATCACAATCATTCATATTTGAAGACTGTTGAGCTGATCATCATGCAATAATCGATCTTTACCTTGGTATGATATTCCAGTATGAGTGGTGGTCTTTATGGACAACCACAGTCACCCTGAGTTTATATGCGAACTTTGTCGACATCTTCTTATAACGATAGCCAATCTTGCAATGATCACTCGATCTCAATGCCACCTGTTGAACAGTAAATCAGGGGTCTACTTGGTAATAGCCTATATAGTGCCAACGTGTCCTTTGATGACCTGTTATGCATAATTCCAATCCGGGAGAGGCTTAGATGTGTAAATGTCACCTTCAACAAGCTAGAAAGTGTCCACGGGTATCCATACGGGTTGCATTCCAGGGCTTATCCTAGATAGCATTAGCGTATCTAAATTATCCCCTATGATTGGTTAAGCGAATGACGCTAAAATGAGTCATAATGAGTCGTGGGGGGATATCAGATAAACAACCAATCACATGATGCTTACTGTGGGCCCATGTGGTACTGCGGTTGATCCCTTGGTCTTCCATTCTTTTTTATATGGCCTGGCCTTGTCCTTCCATTTCTTCCTCAGGACACGACTCCTACAGAGTCGACCCATATTCACAGTTACCCTAGGGTATCTCTTCATCATCCTCATATAGAGCGTCACGGGTCTGCAAAGGCCCTTCTAAGAAATCCAGCGATGCCTGCCTGCTGTTGTTCGAGCGCCGCGGCAGCGATCCAGACCTCCACACACTGGTTCCAACCCGCCCTATACCGGCACGCAGGAACGCCATCAAGGGCCTGCTGAATATTCGCCATGGGCGAATCTTCATCCGTACAGTGATAACGACCTCTTCTCATCGCTGACACCGCCGTTGGAAGGCTTTCCCTCGGCTGTGCCAGTCTGTCAATCCTTTGATACCCTCACGCACGAGTCGGCACTCTGGGCAGAACCCGATCTGTCCTTTGCCGATACCGACTGGAATTTCGTATCTGTGAATCATTCGACGCCGTACCCTCCTGGATATGACGGTGGCGATGCCCCCGTCATAGACCTTGGGCATGGCTCTGTGTCTGCTTTCAACTCTCTTTCGGATTCCGGCTCAATCGAGCTCCAAAACTATGTTCCTGCGTCTATTGCTCCTAGCTCGGTTAATTCACAAGGTAGGATTGTATTCCTCTATCAAGTCAATGGGGCCTGGTTTCTAACGTTTAAAAGATGGCTACTCGCATCCTTCCCCTATCTCTCAGTTCCCTGTTCCCGTCTCGACTTCTCTCTCCAGCCCTGATACCTCCCAGGGCGATGATATTCTAAGTCGCGTTGATTCCTCGCGCGTGGAAAAGCGTAAACTCAACACCCTTGCAGCGCGGAGATGTCGCCAGAGACGTGTGGATCGGATGAAGGAACTTGAAGCCGAGTTGGAAAAGATGCGGAAGGAAAGAGATGATTGGAGACTTCGGTGTTCGAAGCTTGAGGGCGAAACGGATGCTTTGAAGGCTCTTCTCACTCGTAGGAGCAAGGATACATAGTTAGGTACTTGAAAATTAGAGTAGGTCTCTCAAGTGAATTCGATTGGTTTTGGATGTCTCCACTTGTTTTCTTTCGTATTTTGCCCAAAGGAACATGCTATCAGCATTATTCGTATTGTGAGATAGAGATATAGTGTCAGACTTCCTCTACATCGGGCATCCCCACAGAGTGGCCCTCGCCCGAGGTCATATGCATCAAAGTCAATTGCATAATTCCCGGCAAATCAATGACAAGGGATCTACTATTGATCTCTTCTCCTGGTGGCTCACATGAACGAGCCCGGGACGCCCGGAGACTATCTTACTCTGCGGGGCTTCGTTGAGAGGGGTTCTTCCTAGTCTCAACAAACAGGGCCTACCCAGCCGATAGTATTACTCACAGATATCGAAAGACCGCTTACTCCGTACATCCATGTAGCATTTTAACCCCTCAATAAATTACATCATCTCACTTCGTTTTTATCTGCAATCTCCATTCTTCGGTTCGTTCTACAATACTCCAACAGCTTTACCCGTTAACCCGAGATCCATCCATTATGAGAGCTGTACGCTTCCATGGACGAGGTGATATCCGCATTGATGAGATAGAAGAGCCGGTTTGCGGCGATGGTCAGGTCAAGGCAAGCTTAAGCATTACTACTCGTAACTTTTGTAACGTTAGCGCCGAGGCTGAGTCTCTAACAACCAAGCTTGATGTTAACAGATTCGACCTGCCTTTGTCGGAATATGTGGCACTGGTAAGTAACGCGGTCAACAGCCACCGTTAGCTAGTTGTTTCTAATCCACCCCAGATATCCACGAGTATATTACTGGTCCCATTCTTGTTCCTGTCACGCCGCACCCATTAACCGGAGACAAGCTGCCAATCACCCTGGGCCATGAGTTCAGTGGCACAGTTGAAGAAGTTGGCCCAGGCGTTACAGAGTTCAAGGTTGGGGATCGGGTTGCAGTCAAGCCTAACCTCTTTGACGCCACGTGTTCGAGCTGTTTGATAGGAAGATTCCCTTCCTGCGAGAAAGTGGGATTCATCGGCTTTAGCAGTAAGCAATGCTATGACCTCTCGACATGTCGCGATATTAATGACTACAAGGTCAGGCAGGTGGTCTGTCGGACCACATCGTCGTGGATACCAAACATGCGATTCCGCTACCCGACTCCATCCCCCTCGACATCGGAGGTAAGAATAGGCTTCTACGTTTCAAGTTGTAGTTGATTTGTTTCAGTTCTGACGATATTGGTGGCGATACAGCCCTGGTGGAGCCTCTTGCCGTCGCATGGCACGCCGTAAGCCGCAGTCCTCTGCAGGCAAATGACACAGTACTTGTGGTTGGGGCCGGACCAATCGGTCTGGCTATCATTCAGGTACTGAAAGCTAAAGGTATTACGTCGATTATTGCCGTGGAGGTCTCTAAGCGACGACGAGAATTTGCCCTCGCTCTAGGCGCCCTCAAGGTTCTTAATCCCATTGATGTGGATGCGGTTGCGCAGATACGTGCTTTAACGGCGAATGTGGGTGCAGCTGTTGCATTTGAGTGTTCCGGGGTTCAGGCTGGGATTGATACCGCGATGACTGGTCTTCGGGTGCGTGGGACGATGGTCATCGTTTCCTTGTGGGAGCAGAAGCCTATCTTTGATACTTCTGGTATTGTGCTTCAAGAGAAGCACGTCATAGGGGCTGCTATTTATGATGATGGGGACTTCGAGGCTGTGATTGATGCAATTGCTTCTGGTAAGCTTGACTGCTACTTACCCAGTTGTTGTCTCCAGTTCACTTCCTAATTAGGTAATTGCCTTCTGCTGACCTCTTGCTTCTTATGGTATAGGTAATATCCAGCCTCGCCAGATGGTCACCAGTAAAATCCGAATGGAGGATGTGGAAGAGAAGGGATTTAAGGCTCTCATCGAGGAGAAGGATGAGCATGTAAAGATTCTGGTCGAGATTTCTGCATGAAGTGTACTCCGTACGTGGAAGTCATGCGCCTTGGTGCCGATATATTTCAATTTTAAATAAGTTTCCGTTACATTTGTTCATCTATTACTCTAAACATCTACATACTCAGAAAATATGCGCCAAGCTTTATACATGCTGGCCACGCGGTATAAAACGGGGACTTCGGGAATAGTCCTAGATCAGGTAACAGCTCTGGAGCCCTGGAGTAGGTCGGATCTTCTTGCCTAAGAACATTTTCGGCCAAGCCGACTAGAGCTAGTTCTACAGGATAATTTAGAATGGTAAATGATTATAGTAAGCCGAGCCGAGCCATTGACGTGATTATTGTCATTCATTAGGCTGTTGATCTCATTAGCAAAATACACCTAATACATGTATTGAACCCGACAAACACAAAAAGCAATATGAGAAAAAATTTCTTTAAATAGTGCATCGGCTAAGCTCAGCTCTAGTACTCCGTATTATTAATTGATTCTTTCCATGCATTTTTAGAAACATGTTGACGGTAACATTGCCACTTCAGGTTGTGCTACTACCTACCTACCTAACTACCTAAGCCACTCACTGAGCCTGAGTTGCCCACTGCGTTGCTCTCCCCATTTTGTATTCTATATTCTAGCTTCCGCCTACTTCGTTGATGACTGCCCTTACACCTATATGCTCTGAGGTAGTTAAGATACAATTGCATGGTACTACTATTAAAGACCTCTTAAAAGATCCCTTAAAAGACTATTATAAAATTTGCGGGGCTGAAGGAGGTGCAGAAGAGTAACCAATCAGAAGACAGAGACAGGCCATAAAGTCAACAAAACTGTAGGAAAGCCTATTAAGTGAAGATACTGTAATGTGAATTGTGAGATATTCCAAGGTTGGTCTTGTGTCATTCTTAATAATCAAACATGGTTATGATCAAAAGACAAAATCCTGTGCTATTGAGGAGCAGTAAGTTCAAAAAAAAGGAGAAGAATCACGTAGAAGCAAGAAAGTCAGAGCAATTTTGTCGAGATCGTCGTCCCTTGCGTTCAGAATGGGATGATAGGATGGTGATCGCTTTGCTGAGCACATGGACCAGTCCCAGTGACGAGATGTAAGACTCAGATGTTTTCTGTCAAATTTCCGATGTTCTAGATCAATTACGAGATGGACGCTTTGCCTCTCGAGGATCTGGCCCGTAAACGTAACGCTCGAAACGTGATAACACAGTAATAAGCGAAAACGGCATGGATGATTTTCTAATTATCAGAGTAGGAGAGATTTATGAATGTCTCATAGAACAAGACTAAGAGCTTGATGGTCCAGGATAAAGCAATGGAGTTAGACGAGGCGCAAAGACGAGGAAGAATCTCGTTTGAGTAAACCACTCGTGTACATATATATGTCCAAGGTTAGGCGGTTTCATGGGATATATACATGTACGCCTTCTTACATTAATACTATTCTTCTTTCTTACCAACTTTATCAACTTCTTCTCTCTCCATTTGAGGTCCTTCTACTTGTTCCGTGATATTTACCCGCTATTCTTTGAGATATGAGACTTCAAACACTCCATCAGGCACACCACTTTTTTACATATATCATCAATCTTTTGCGCCGAGCATACTGACTTAATGATGAGTCGATCACTGAGCAGCTTTAACCGAGCACCCTAGGGGATACCTGCACCTGGGCACTGGGCATTATTTAGTAATCAAAAGTACTGGACTTTCAAGGTTCAGGAGGTTCCAACCTGGGCACCTGTGGACGCCACGTGCTATGATGACTAATCCTTTTTGTAAATAGATCGGGAGGTTAAACCGGCGCCTTAAGATGGCCATTTTCGACCAATTTAACCATTAACATATATTGAATTACAGGAGCTAGTTGTGCGGTATACTTTGTATTGGTAACTGAGCTGATGTTATTCTGCAACATTGAACTTATAGGTGCCATGATCTGATGATATGACGACACATGTATATCCTGTGTCGGCCTATTATTCGTCATTTATTCTTTCATTTGTTTTTTATTGTCTGAAACTCCCATTGTTTTAATTCTTTCTTTTCTTTTTATGTTCCAAACGTCAATGCAGGCGCTTTTAACCAGGTCTGGCAATGATCTATGTATTATATTCTTATGGTTACTCTGCAGTAATAATACGAAGAGCGTGGGATGATCTTAGGGCCTTGGCTGGCTGACGGTGTTGGGGGAGAAAGCTCTAGACATGGGCATTGCTGGCAGTGGAGAAAGAGTGTTTTTTCCACTTGACGCCTCCCGCCTAACGATCTATGAAATGGTGACAAGCCACTCCCCGGTTTAACTAGTTTAGGCATGTTAAAATCAAAATTAAAAAAAAAGAAAACTGATTCTCTGCTGCAAAGATCTGGGAAATGTCTCGAATATCAACTATAGGAAACAGACATGTACTCTGTATGTAGTACTCCTTACTAGATCTCTATCTTTAGCCGGCATCCATGATCTGAGATTCGAAACAGGTTTGCGGCATAAACAATGCCAGTCATGCGAACTAACTTAAGTTTCAAGTGTCGATCCCAATCGCTTTTTTGTTCTAATTTTACAGGATGGTTCGGCCTTTGCCGCAAGGGAACTCCGTAGAGAGAATTTAGTCGCCCTGTTATGCACCACGGAAGATCATAAGGGGATTAACCACTCGATGACACTAAGGCAGCACGTCGCTAGTGTTCGCATCTGATTGATCCAGTCATTTTCTGGGAAAACACGCCTCAGCCGTGACCTGAGACATCCATAGATGATACCGCCCATGCTCGATATAAGTTATTGGCTCATTTTACTGCGTGGATCCATAGGGATGGGGCGGGTTGGAATTTTTAGATCCCACCCTTTAGGTATATAACAACACTTGGGCTACGCTTTGACAACTCCATTTTTCGTTATAAGTCCCTTTGTCACGCAATATTCCATTGTCTTCTTTCATCCCTATAATTGGAATCGAAAATCCAGTACTACAAGAGTGCTGTTTTGACCACTTTTTTTTTCTACTGTGGACCCCTGCCTACGTTATACCCGGGATTCTTGCCTCATAAAAAAGCCCACATCATGGGTACACCACTTACAGAAACGGTTATCATTACTGGTGGAAATGGGTTATTGGGGTCGGAGATCGCCATCGAGATCGCAAAAAAACAACCTTTCGTCCATCTATTATTGACCGCACGAGATATAAGGACCGACGATGTCCGCGATTTGATGGGGAAGATCCGCTTGATCGGCCCGAGGTCGATCGAGGTTCTCGCTCTTGACCTGACCGATCTGAAATCCGTGGCATCTTTCGCCAAAACTACCGTCGATCGTGTTCATTACAAAGATATTCCACCTGTGACCAATCTAATTCACTGTGCTGTCGCTACATCTTACGTTATTGATGACCTCACATCAGATGGCTACGACCCTGTGTATCAGACAAATTGTCTATCTCCATTTTTATTAACCATTGGACTGCTCGAGGCTTTCCGGGCTGGAGATGGTACACCAAAAGGCGGAGCGAAGGTCATCAACATCGGCTGTTCTGCGACAACTTCCGGGAGATTGGATTACTTCGACCGCGACAATGGAAGACATGGAAAGCAACCGGGAACTGCGCTCGGTGCAAAGGAAGAGAATATTCGTTTCGGGAGCAGCAAGTTAATGGCGAGTGTCGCATTATATGCGTTGAGGCGGAGCTTGATCTGGGTAAGTTGACATTGTGATCGGAGTCATCTCCCGATTTCCAACTTTCAACAGTTTACTAATAAAATCTAATTATAGACCGGCAATATCTCACTCGACATCTTCACCTTGGATCCAGGAGGCATGACTGGTCCGAGTAATTTGCGGACCGGGGCGCCTATGTCGGTCAGAGTCGCACACCAGACTCGGTCCGGACTTCGGCCATTCCTGCGCATCGTATCGCGAAGCTCCATGAACAAAGTCAGTGTTCCAGCCAAGGCGATCGCCAGAGTTGCATTCCACATCGACACGGTGGAGAACTGGCAAAAGGAACGCTACTTTATTCTCGATAGCGAGTACGAGGCCGCATCCGTCTTGCCTAGCTTGCGTAATGGGGAAAAAGTGAACAAGCTATTGCTGCAGATGATGCAAATGGTTGAAGTGGAAACAAAGCAGATGGACTCTCCTCCTCTTCGACCTCAATTGAGCATGCTCTCGCCTACACTTGCACTGTGAAGGGACAAAATTATCTATACATTTTAGCATTGGGGGAAGTTTCTGTATCTAAAATTAGCGAAAGCATTTTGCAAAATTAAAGCATTTGATCTTTTATATATTTCAATCCCAAATTATGTTATAAAGTACGGTATAATATTCAATCTACAGGGAGACAAGGGCGCTGATGGTTGCAAGCGGATGACCGGATTTGGTGAAGACCACAACAGTGTAAGATCTTGGATCACATCAAGTCTTATTTCGCTTCTTCTTAGGCTTCCGATTCTTTTTATTTTTTGTTTCAATCTTTTCTTGAGACTTTCATTGATCCTAAGCCTTCGATAACTGTCCTTTGCAAAACCGGACCGGGGTTGTCAGGGTCTCCGGCCGCTCCATCAGTTCTTGGCCAAGCACCGCGTGACAGCGCCCGCAGTGATGAACCGACACGTCCTTGAGAAAGGCCACTCTGCCTACCCCAGAGGCTCTGCATTTTCAATTTCTCCGAACAGGTAGGCAAACTACAGAGTCTGAGCTACGCAGCTCGTCATTGTTCGCGCTCGGAGCCCTGTCGTCATGCCAGATCGTGAAACGAGAAATCAAGACTAACTAGTATGCCTCCGCCCCCAGGTTCCAGCCTCGTTCACAACCTGCCCTTCGGAGACGCCGACAGCTCTTTCAGCGCCTCTGCCTCCTTGGCGGTGTGTCGATAGTGCTGTTCCTCTTGATTTTCCCATCATGGCGCGCTGCCATCCTTCCCACCATCTCGCTCGGCCTTCTCTCTTACCCCGGAGATCTACACCTACAGACGGTCCGGTATTATGATTTATCAGAAGTTCAAGGGACGGAGAAGGGCTGGGAACGCGGAGAGCGTGTCCTGATGTGTACTCCCCTCCGAGATGCCTCGTCGCACCTCCCGATGTTTTTCTCACATCTTCGAAACCTCACATACCCACACCACCTAATTGATCTCGCATTTCTGGTATCGGATTCTAGGGATGATACCCTAGGAATGCTGTCGCGCATGTTGGAGGATACCCAAAATGATCCGGACCCAAAAATGCCCTTTGGAGAGATCTCCGTGATCCAGAAAGATTTCGGGCAGAAAGTCCAACAGGATGTGGAAAGTCGACACGGATTCGAGGCACAGGCCAATCGACGCAAGTTGATGGCGCAGGCAAGGAATTGGTTGCTGAGCGCAACGCTTCGCCCAACCCACAGCTGGGTCTACTGGAGAGATGCAGACGTGGAGACTGCCCCGTTCACAATCATTGAGGATCTGATGCGGCACAACAAGGATGTTACAGTCCCGAGTGAGTGGTTACCATTTCATGAGTGTCCAAATCCATACTAACCGGCTTTGTCTGTAGATGTTTGGCGCCCGCTTCCAGATTGGCTTGGCGGAGAGCAACCTTACGATCTGAACTCCTGGCAAGAATCTGAGACTGCGCTGGCGCTTGCGGATACCTTGGACGAGGACGCTGTCATCGTGGAAGGATATGCCGAGTACGCTACATGGAGGCCTCATCTTGCTTATCTCCGCGATCCCTACGGCGATCCAGACATGGAGATGGAGCTGGACGGGATCGGAGGTGTCAGTATCCTGGCGAAGGCCCGAGTATTCCGTGCTGGTGTGCACTTCCCAGCCTTCAGTTTCGAGAAGCATGCCGAGACGGAAGGGTTTGGCAAGGTAAGACAGTAATTAGCGAGGTGGTGGTTACAATTGCTAATATTTCCTAGATGGCTAGACGGATGAAGTTCTCGGTGATTGGACTGCCACACTACGTTATTTGGCATCTATACGAGCCCAGTGTCGATGACCTTCGGCATATGGAACAAATGGAGGTGGAGCGACTGGCTCGCGAAAAAGAAGAACAAGAACAAGCAGAGCAAAAGGCTCACGCCGAGTCCAAGCCCCTAGGCACCGATCAAACTGTAAACGGCGAAGAATTACAAGGCTCGGCTGAAGGCCCGGCTGGCCAGCCCATGAAAGACACCGTGGATTCTATTCAGGGTCAGTTGAAAGACCAAGCCGAGACAGTCGAAGTAGCCGAGAAAGCGAGACTATAATCCTCAGCTGGCGGCTTTCTCTCGCCGCTTCTTTCCTATAAGTGGCCACTTGTTCGTTCCAGCCGGCTGGATTACGCATTACATTCTCACATGCGACTTGAATATCTCACCTTCCTGTCTGGGAAGACTATTTGTTTGTTTAGACTAGGGCATGTTTATGCCCAACCTCTGCGGGTGTAGGAGCTTTGCTTTGTATTCTTGTTCTGTTCTTGCATATGTTTGTTTTTATATCTTTGGGAGGCATTTCTGTCTTTTACAGAGTCACAACGAAGCACAATGGTTGACGTGTCATTGAGAGCAATAATTTGGCCATTCAAAAACAAAAGACTGCCGATTTTGATTTCAATATATTCTACAAAAGAATAATTGGCCGCTTATACAGTCTCCGTCCTTGACGATGTAGTTCTAATCTGATCTATTTGGCATAAACTGGTATAAAGAACGGTATATGTAAGATTCTTCTACAGCGGCTTTTAAATGTCATGTTTCATCTCCCTATAAGTGTTATAGCTGGGAGTATAAAAGGGAATGTAGAATATGTGCGGTGAAAGAGATGTAAAATATGAAAAACCACATGTGCACTTTTCAATGTTCTATGCATACGTCGATGTACATAATATGTGGCTTTTTAAATTGGCCCAATAATGTAACTTTAACATAATGCCCAGATGATCATCTAACCCCTCCAAGATCCAGGGCTACACATCGGATGAAGCCGAAGGCCTCTTAGGCGGTCCGTGTGTCTCCACTTCGCGTCAACGCGTCCGAAGCCAATGCTTCATTCCGACTTTCCTTAGACTTGCACTCTATACACACTATAATCTGCAATGTCTACTCAAGACTCGCGTGGTATTCTTTTTACACATACTCGCCCCCAGGAGGGGTTCCGGCTACTGGAACTTACCCCAGAGCTGGAAGAGCTACTGACATCAAAAGATGCACCCGTGTAAGTTGACGCAATGAATAGAAGCTCAAGTAGACGGGAGCAACCCGCAAGCTGCTGTCCGAAAGGGCCCTCCCATTCCCAATCGGCTACTCTCGGCTAACCCGCGACGCCCACCAGACTTGAACTCAAATCGCCCTCTGCAGCCCTCGCACAAGCAGTAGTCGACCCCGCCGCTCACGACTACGTCAACCTATGCACACCGACACAAACATACCGCATTCGCCAAGTCCAATCCTCAAACTCCCTGCACATCCTCCGCCCAAGCCGCGGCGAAATCTCTCAAGCAGATATCAAAGTCGTTGAAGAAGAAGCTGGCGAAAGCGGCACATTGAACCTCCCAGATGAAGCCGTAACGGCCGTTGCAAAGTGTTCCTCGACGCTGGAACTTCACATCCCACCGGGAGGGTTCTCAGCTGTTCCGTTCCTGGAGAAGAGTCTGCGGCTGTACGATCGACGCAGCGACGATGATGGGGACATAGCAATGGGCGGTTCTACTAACTCTACGAGCCCGCTGGGATCCAAGGAAATGCGCGCGGCCAGGGAGAATGTATGCGAGGATATTCCCGTGTCAACGGCGCAGTGCGAGCAGGGTTGGATGGAGCTTTGTGCATTTGTAGATGGGGTTGAGGAGGTGGCATGTTGGCGGCCCTCGGCGCGGTCTCGATTGGCTGTTTGGAAGCGGCTGGCCGAGGGTGCTGTTTTACAGGGCATTGATCTTGAGAAACAGTTTCTTGTTGGGGACTTGTGGAAGTCTGTTCTGGATGATGACGAGGAGATGGAGCCGCCGTTCCCACGTGCGTTGCTGGAGGCTGTTGTGAGGCGCATCTGCATTGCGAATGAACGACCGCCTTTGGTGGATGATATCAAATGTGAGTCAAGGATGGACAATTAGATGTGGTTGCAGGTGTCGGGTTTTCTAATTATTTTATGCTGTTCTCTAGGGGCGAGCTTTGATAAGGTTGAGTGTACGCAATGGGTTGGCGAGACATACTTGGCTGCCAATGCTCCGACTACGTCGTCTGCTATTGGAAGAAGTGAATTCCTCCGCGCATGGAAGGATTGTCTGCCTGAGTCTTGGAGAGGAGAAGCAGCGCTGTCAAAACTGCCGGTAACTTGACCTTTTCCCACTTGAGCTACGGTACAATAGGCTAATTTCGACTACAGAATGGCTGCTACAACACTCCTGACCCTACAACTATCTGTTTTGTTGAACCATCACAACGACAGCCAACTAACAAAACTGCCTCTACACCAGCCACAACCGCGAAGGCTAAGAATACTAGAAATTGGCACGAATTGCTCAAAGGCCGCCGTTGATTGCGAAAAAAACAACTAACGCACTTGCTGCGTAAAGCCATGGCATCTAGTCTATGATGCGCGCGTATCTAGAAGCACCACGATCATGCCTGCCGCCCGAACTTACCTCGATCGCACTTCCCCCCAAAAAAAAGTGGGAAGAATCACGAGCAAATAAGAAAAAAAAAACTCGAAAGGACTCTCCGACGAATGAATCATTAGCACCAAGTGTACTTCTCATTCAACCACCACTCCACATCCTTTCCCAGCCCTTGCTCCTCGCCAGTCCACCTCAAACTGGAGATGCTCTCTTTTTCGCGGTGTACAAGCTCAGCCTCCGGGTCCACCAGAATCACAGCCTTCTGCAAAAGGGGAGTAGGGTTCCAGAATTCAACCTTGCTCATATTCCATTCGTGGGCCTCTTGCTGTGCTCGCCGAAGGATGGCAGCCATGGCCTGGATAGTGGCCTGCTCCTCTGCCGGAGACGTGGGATCATCATACACCCACCGAAGGATGTAGAGAACATTATCCTCGGGTGCCTCGCCGAAGTTCCGGTTCCAAGCGCAGTACACGCGAGCCTGGTCGTCACCAGCGCCCTTGACTACAGGCGGGGAGCGCGCAGGAATCAAGTTCTCAGCATAAAACTCCTCTCGAGCCCAATGCCAGACAAAGTGATCAAAGTTAGGCAAAATAGCAATCTTAGCACCACTCG